AATGTCCCAGGGAAGGGAAGGTGAGGTAGCTGGTGAAGGAGGACCAAGTGGGCTGATCCCTGGCCGATTGACCGATAGACCTAGGGCCGCTCCTTGGGGAGGATCACGGAGCCCAGCACAGATGGCAGCACCTCCTCCCTCGCCCTTCCCTCTGCAGGGGTGCCCATCTCCCTGGTGATCAACTCCACGGGCCTGCAGGCCCCTGGCCGCGTGGACTCGGTGGAGCTCTCACGCAGTTCAGGGCAGCCCCTCCTGACTCTGCCCACGCAGCTGCTCTCCAACGGATCCACCCATCAGCTGTGGGGTGGGCCACCCTTCCATGCCCCCCAGGAGCGCTTCTACCTCAAGGTGAAGGGCGAGGACCATGAGGGGAACCCCCTCCTTCGTGTCTCTGGAGTTGCCTATAGTGGAGTGGCCCCAGGTGAGTGAGTGGCTCTTGCCACCCCTAGATTTCTGTCTCAGTTGCCAACCCATTTCTTCTGGGAGCCCTCCTGGTTAGATTAGATTAGGGAGTGTGTTCATTGACTTCTGTGGGCAGCAAGCTCTGCAAGGATTATGCTGAGTATTGAGATGCTTCCGATGTAGCCCTCAGCTCAGATACGTAGTACAAAGTCATCCTCCACCCATGCATTCATCTATTTATCCATACATGCATCTGTACATCGTACCCACTCATCCATCCAGACATCTACCTACCCATCCATCCATCCACCCATCCATCCATCCTTCATCCATTCATCCATCCACCCATCCATCTATCCATCACTCATCCATCCATCCATCCATCCATCCATCCATCCATTCATCTATCCATCCATCCACCCATTCATTCATCCATCCATCCATCCACCCACCCATTTATTCATCCAAATATCCACCCACCTGTCCATTCAACATTTCATTTTGTGTCATTCATAATGTGGACACAGCAGTGGGCAGGGCAGAGGGTATGGGTATGGTCTTTTGTTATAGTCACTGTATAATCATGATCTTGCTAATACTAATTTAACCATCATTTTGAGCACTTCTCTTGGGGCAGTCCTGGGCCAAGCCCACTTACCACACATTCACTCCTCGAATGCTTATAACATTTCTGAGATGTGTTTCCATTTTATAGATGAAGAAACTGAGGCCACTAAAAAAAATAATTTTAGAAAAAGAAAAAAAAGAAAAAGAAACGGAGGCCACCGACCTCCCAGGGTTGCTTGGAAGGTTCCATAAGCTAATGCACACGAAGAGACGGCTCGTGGGGCCGCTCAGGGTCTGCGCCCAGGATGTGGGGGTTGTGGGCCATGTTGGGTTGGTTCCCACACCTGGTGGCTTTCTGCTGGTTTTCTGTGTGTCCCTGAGGTCTCACATCCCGTCTGGAAGCTTCCAGAGGGCAGGGTGGAGTCTCTGGCTTTCCAGCTCTGTCTCTGGGCCTGGCAGGGGCATCTCAGTTCACTGGCCACTGGCTTCCATACTGGGCTCCACTCCCTCCTGCCCACTCCCCCTTCCCATGTGGCGGCCAGGGAGGAGCTCACAGAGGTGGCTGTCACTGACATTCCAGGGTCCTTGCTGGGGATCTCAGCGAGGGGCAGACTCCTCTGTCCACAGCACTGGGGGGGGGGGCACCAAGGTGCCCATGGTGAAGTGGAGGAGTTGCAGACCCTTCTTTCCAGCCTCCTGCTGGCCTCCACTCCCCACAGTGGTCCCCGGCCACCCCGGCCTTTACAGCTTTGAGAGGACTTTTCAGAAAGAAATTTCAGCAGCAGAGTAACAGCCTGTGTGTCTCTCTCCTGCTCTTTGCGATGGATCCAGGAGTTTGGAGTTTAGCTCTGGCTCTTGGTCGGCACCTCGGCTCTAGATGAAGGTGTGTCTGTGGGCAGGGAGCAGCGTGGCTTGGCCTTTTTTTTTTTTTTTTTAAATATATTTTATTGATTTTTTACAGAGAGGAAGGGAGAGAGATAGAGAGTTAGAAACATCGATGAGAGAGAAACATCGATCAGCCGCCTCCTGCACATCTCCTATTGGGGATGTGCCCGCAACCCAGGTACATGCCCTTGACCGGAATCGAACCCAGGACCCTTCAGTCCGCAGGCCGACGCTCTATCCACTGAGCCAAACCGGTTTCGGCAAGCCTTTTTGCTTCCTACTCTACCTCCCAGGTTTGGGAGGTTGGCGGTTCGGCTGAGAGCAGGAGGCTCTGGGTTTGGCGACATGGAGGTGTGAGGGCTGGGCCTGGGGTCGCTGGGCCCTTGCAGCTCACAGAAGAGGAAGCCGAGCAGGCCTTGCAGAGGCTTCGTGTGTGTGTGTGTGTGTGTGTGTGTGTGTGTGTGTGTGTGCGTG